TGGACCGTATGGGCGACAATTTAATTGGCCGCCTACTACCCCCAATTCGGACTGCCGATCTTCAACAGAAAGATGCACTGTGAACCCACATTAGCCTCAGAGGTGTTCGACTGTATATTTTTACTCAAACGTCATTGTACTCCCGGCCCTGCTGTGTTCAGGGATGGCGGTGAATTCCTCAACTAGTGCCTGTCTAGGCTATTGGGAGTCAGGGATTGTGCCCATTTTCTAAATGGGTACTTGCAGTGAATGCAGCAACCAAAGAAGTGTCAGCTTGACTCTAGTTGTAACAAGTATTCTGGGGTCACTGATTCTTCGTCGTCTTAAGGCGCAAAGTTAATCCCTGATCCATGAGCATCAAGCGGGATTTCGACTGGGTAAAGGCTGCGCTGACCACATCCTCACATTCCGTCAAGTGTTACAGCAACGCCGTATGTACAGACGATCCACAATCTTGGTGTCCCTTGAATTCAAGGAGGCGTTCGATTCTGTCTATCGGCCAGTGCTGTTGACCACACTTTCTGCACAGGTTATATCCCAGAAGGTTGTAAACATAATGCGATCTCTATATCCACATAATTCTGAACGTGTAATAGTCTACGGTGAGCTCTCTAAACGCTTCCCCAAGGATGTCCACTCTCTCCGTTCTTGTTCAACCGCATCATTGATGAAATGGTGAGACGAACGCCGGAAGATCCTCAAACCATAGTATTCAAATCGTTCTCGATGAGAACCTTGTCGATCTGGAGTACAAAGACGACATCACCGTCATGCTTGCAGACGAAGACGCAGCCCCAACTCCTTTGAATAAACTGACGACCGTCGTGCCATCTTTCAGCATGTGCTTTGCACCTCCAAAGTCCAAAGTTATGCTCCACAACATACAGTCACTAAACACCCCCTTACAAGTGAAGGAGAATCACTGGAGTTTGTGGAGGATTCTACATACCTCGGTAACTGTATTGGCTCTGACTATAGTGCGTCTGATGAAGTTGGCGCATCATTCTCAAAGGCAAGAATCATGTTTGCTAATTTGCATCATTTGGGGCGTCAAAAAGGCATATAACTGAGTCTCAAGGTTCGTATGTACTAGGCTATAGTAGGGACCACATTGTTGTATGGTTGAGAAACATGATCTCTGTGGACAGATGATGTGAGGCTTCGTCAACTTTTTTTTGGCAATTGATGCCCCAAAGGCACTGCTGGTATCGGATGGCGTCAACGAAACTGTAACGGAGTAATTAGAGAGCAAGTTTTCGATTGTGCATCAGGTACTTAAATCGCAGAAATTATCCAGCACCATCAACTGCGGTGGCTCGGTCATGTGCTACACATACCGAAACACCATCTATCGAGACAGGTGTTGTTACCCGCAATTCCTTCAGAAAGGTGCCAACCATGAGGTGGAAAATTTATGACCTGGAAGAAGGGTGTGGAAGAGATTACGAAGAATTTGGATGCTGTCGGCACAGTCCGCCTCGTAGGATTGTCCCCCTTGACTCCTACGTTTGGCCGGAGACAAAGGAAATGACGGCTGATCGCTGTAGTGACATTCGTGCTGTCAGTTTCTTTCCAGATTCGGATCGAGCGCTTGTAGTTGTAGGTACCTCAGAAGCTTGCGATGGGCCAGCACCACGTTCCCTCTTCCACTCACTCTTTTCTCTTTTCATTCCAAGACTGCATACATAATGAGGTAAACTTCGTGATTGTACGACATCGATGTCAACACAGATATTGGTGTATCTGATGATAATGAGTATTAACAGGCCAGGCTACCATGACATTGTTGTCCAGTTAACAAGCCCAAGTCCGAGGATATTTTTCTAAAGTCTTAACGTATCCTTTCTCCAACACCAGTACGGCTAAATCTTTGAAAGAGAGGCACATTGGTTTCCCTTGCAACCCACGGCAATACTAACCGGACTACTAACCCAGGACTACCATCCCGAGATGACGACAAGATCGCATTGCTTTGTCTACATGTAGTGTAATCTGTTCAATGTATACGGCCAGCGACGAGGAACACCAGCAACCGGAATATTTGTACATGGGAACTTCAGTTAGGTTGAATTTGTAGTCCTCTCCAGTGTGGAATTAGAGAATATTCGATTTCGTGTTCTTTGGGGATCGTCTACCGTACAGTCAATTTCACTGTACCATACGGAATTTCATCGTCAAACTCGTACACCAGAATTAAATCGAATCGGTCACACCATCCATTCAATTAAAATTACCCTTTGTTCGTTAAAATCGATTGATCTAGAACAGAGTTTAACACGTATAGACGTAATACACCACCCATAAACGAGAGATTCAGCTGAGGTCCAGGTGGGTCTCTCGCAAAACCAAAATTGTTTGCAAATGGCTGTATTTCGCTACAGTCTAACATCTTTTGTTGTAGAAGCTATGTCACAGCTGGGGAAATCAAGTACGTCTTTCAGAAAACGTTCAACCTTAGCTTAACTGCTTTACATCCATTATTCGGCGTTTTTGTCAATACTTGACAAGCATTTAATGCATTAACTTCTCATACTAGGCATTCTGTGGAGATCTCAGCTTCCAACGTACATAATTGACGAGATTCTGACAAATCGTGACTTTTGTGAAGTTGATGAAGTCATTCTCCGCTATTTGTGCCTTGTGAACCAGCTTTACATACCATCCAAATGGGTCTCATCCAGACTTAATCGGTCAACTTTGTATATTTCCCAGCTTCTGGACCCCCCTTTTATCGAAGCCCATGCTGGCGCGACCCCTTATCGAATTCAGTCGTACTGACTGACAGTTCGGTGCAATGCATTCAGCTCTGAAGCTGAGTGCAACTCGCGTACTGCAGATAATAAGCATCACTGCATCAGAATAATCTGACATCCGCCCAACAAAGGGTGAGAACAATGGATTCGTCCTAATGGATTTTAGGCGTATTACTGGGTTGTCGTGCGCTCGCGTTCAAGACAACTTGATAGAAAGCAAAAGATGTGAATTGCTGAACTTGACGAAGCCACAATGCGAAGAGGTCCTCTTAAATATAGTACGGGTTGTTTTTATTCACTTTACTGGGCAGAATAACACGCTAGGCGACGATTAGATGATTGATATCTAAATGAATTCGAGCGGACTAACAGTGTGTGCAAAAATATCAGTGAACGGAGGACCGCAAGAGTAAATAATTCGTCGAAGCAGAGAGTTCTTAAAGCACCCCAGCCCTATCCAGTGCTTCGAAATATTGTTTTTGGGCGAATACAAACACACCCGTACTATCCACCAGAAATAAACGTGGAAACGGCCGTTGTTGTGGTCGTACGAATGTGAGCTGCGATTTTATTGTGAATCATTGAGGACCCGGGTATAGTTTTAACTCAAAGCATTATCAAGCTTTTTCATCAAAGGACCAAAACACATCTAGTAATCCAAAGCCTTTGAAATATCGCTTCTAATTAGCTGTCGGTTTGTGGTATCAGCCAACGTGATGTGGACGACATCGGAAACTGACTGAGTAGACGCCTGTGGGAAGCAGATGAGCCGGTTGAAAAAGTTGGGTAGTACAGAGTAAGACTAGCCTGAGGATATATAGGATCCAATAAACAAGCAACAATGGAAAACAGAAAAAAGAGATTTGAAAAACTCGTCACCCAGAACAATCAAATTCCATCAGCTCCTTCCTACACGTAAGCTGGTTGATATCAGCCCTTGTGGGTGATTGCTGAATCAATGGATGTTATTTCTGCTCAAAAACGGAGGTGGTTATATTTAACTCTAGATCCATCCGCTTGCCGCATTGTTGTCACAATACCCTAAGTGGAAATTGATATTTAGGCAGTACAACGACTCATTGACGTCCCCAAGCAGTTTAGCTTCAGCATTTGTGTGCTGCCGTCGACCAAGGTTCTCGAAGCCCCAGTAATGGGCGACCGAGCCAAGTAAGAAAAGTGACCAGTTCGGAGATGCAACTCAACCGCGTAGCATAGCATAAACTGGTCCACTGCCAAGAAGTTGCAGCCTATTAAAAACCGAATTTCCATGTCCATAAATGACAGTGCGGTCGTTTTTTGGCATGAAGTACAATCCAGTACTGAGTGCAGAAATCTACCAGTAACCCAGATCAACGGTTAGGCTGTCTGGGACGAGCACCGGTTTTATTGTTCAAGACAAGCGGAGGCCTAACAAAATTCCGAATACTCCGAACTGCGGCCTCAAAAAACTGGAGGAAAGTGACTACAAACAATCTGAACACACAAGGTCTGAATAAGAAGTAGTAAGATAAATATTAGGTGCATGAAACCACTGTCTCTGAATGGTAAGATAATGCGAATGCAAGAGAAGCAAGCTGTGGGGCAGATGGTGATAAATAGAAATCATAAAACGGGTTCGGGAGCAAACAGAGTAACAGTAATGAGTTCATGTTACTTGATTGGAGTGTATAGTACTGTAGATTTTTTTGTTCGTGACAATGCTAGTGGGCAGTTTCAAACTCATCGTCATGGTATTCTGAAAACGCTGTTATCCAAAACCCAAGGGACGAGCCCATCTTCATTCGGTCAGGGGGCATTCAGGGAGATGGACTGTGCCGAACAGATTGAGTTCATAGCAGCTGCAGAACACGAGAACTACAAAGTATCCCAGAAGAAGAACGAGCCCATAGGGCTTGGTCAGTCGCCAACGGTTCAGGTGCGTGACGCCAAGCAAGAACAGCACAGTTGTGAAAAGTGTAAGGACAGCATAGACCAGTCCTAAAAAAGGGAATATAGCAGGGGATTGTTACAACAAACTTATAAACGGAGCTAGGTGAGTGGTAGTCAAAGCATTACAATGAACATCTTGTGGATTCCATCACTAGAACCAAGAAGAAATCTGCACATCTTGGTGATTTGATGGTCGGTTTAACTCAGGAAAATCAGGTCGGTGTGTAGGTGAATCCTTCAAAGAAGCAAAGTAGCGATACACGAGCAATGAATATGAGTAACAAGAACATCAATGATCAGCGATTGCCGCGACGCAGGCCGACAGCTGCAGTCGAACGGAACAGTCAAAGGCTAACCTGTTCAGTCGCTAGAAGTGCAGTCCAACTAGAATCCTCGATATATATATATATATATATATATAATATTAAATAAGGTTGATGGTGAGTAACATCATATCAAAGTAAATACTTTGATGTCGTGAATGCCGCACCAAGTTAAATTTGAGGCTGCCACTGAACGCCACATTCGGCCAAAGAATAGTATAGCCGACAGATCCAGTAGTCCCACGTTATCACCGCCTCAACAAGCAAATAAATCTAAAAGATAAAACCACATCCTATTCTTCTTCTCGCTTGGTTAGTGTGAAGCGAAATGGCTCAGTGGTTAGAGCGAAAATTTACTGACCGGAAGGTCCTGGTTCGAACCCGACTTTTCCCCCTCTACTCCCTGTCTTGGCTTGGACAACCTGACAAAACTCCAGCCCTCGTGTTTGTATGAGGCTTAGGCACAGAAAAGGTGCTACAGCTGAACAGTTTTGGTTAATACAGGCGTTCGACTTTATAACTATTAGTAATCGCTCGATCATCACCTTTCCAGAAAAGTTTTTACGTCTGATACATGAACCATTCACTTGAGCAGCCCCATAGAAAGGTCACCCGACCCACATACCTGTGACAGCATTGATAAAACTCATAGCACAAAAAATCTACTAGTTTGAGCGTCCACTCAATTTGTGATCAATGAGCGCGAAGCTCAAAGGCTGAATTATTATTGGATTGATATGTGGAGGGCACAACGCAACCACAATAAAATTCATTTGCAGTTACGGAAAATCAATCTCCATGGTAAGAACTGCAGCAAAATGTATTAGGGTTGCTCATGCGTAGCCGAGGTAACCGAATGAAACAGTCATTCAGCCGCACCTTTACTGTTTGCACCGTAGTACTCAAATTACATAAAAACCTTCATGATGGATGAGCATTACTGTCCACCACGGGAGTTTACTTAATTTCGGAACGCCCGCTATTAAGTTTTTCCCCCACAGCAATGGACAAAAACGTCAAGCTAGTTTCTATTGAAACAGCTTCTCTCGTTCTCGACGGGTTAAAACAAGGTTCTTCTGTATAGCCTTTGACTACTTGCGATGAACTCCAAACTTGTTGAACCTAGATACCCCGTTGTTTTTTGTCACTTTTTAGCAAGTATACATCTGCTCTCATGTCATGCGTTGCGGAGCCATCAAATACATGTCAAAAGTAGACAATGCAAATAGACCATATCAAAGAATCGAATTGCTGTGTGGCATTGTTCGATCGGATTTCTCGTAGTTCGGTTGTTAAAAGGCTATCTGCCGATAGCGATATCCGATGAGCAAAATCTTTGACTAATGGTCGACAGCTAACTTTTTGTATTCATAAGTTTTCATTTTCGAAATTTTTCTTCGTAGTTGAAAGCTCCACAATTGTAGCTCAACCTTAGGTGGTTGAAGATTCAATAAACTTGGTTGGCACTACCTCATGTCCGAGACTTCGGAGATCACTGCAATGATTTACACTCAGCATTGCTCTGCGGCCATATTAGTGTCACTCTCGAACCCTCAAAAGAACGCTCTCGAAGGAGTGCCTTCAAGCTGAGGATGGAAGCACCCCATCTAAAATGCTTAATTATGGGAAAGCTGTCATTCTGTTTATTATTGAATGCTAATACATGGAAAGAGCATTCACTCTCGAGTTTAAAGTTGTGTTCTTAGAAGAGTTCCGCCGTCTTGATTAAGACTACATTGTTTAAGTGACCTATCGCAACACTTGAAACCGCATCAACGGAGTAACTCCCGTTCAATCAGCTGACTGTTGATCAGTAGAAAGTGCCCACCCTGAAATTTCAGCTGTTTGTGGAATCAGCCGCCGTAAGGCACTCGTTTAATCATGCTTTAAAGCCTCTTAATCTCGTTGTGCGACTTGCGTGCAAATACCTACGGCTTATTGCTAACCATCAGAGATACCTCAGTAGTCTGCTTGCAATGAGACCTTATGTATATGTCACTTAGTGGGAGTAAAGCTTTCCACATAATCAGTCACAAACATTTAGAGAGAATTTTTCGGTACTGAGGTTACCAACTTCGACACCTAGTTCGATGAAGGTAAACTTGGCGCGATCCAGCATTGAGAATAACTCACGCACAATAGTGAAATCCGAGCTCGTACGGAAGAATACGAACAACCAAGAGATAAATTCCGCTTACATAATTCATTATATCATATCTGGGATGTACTGTCGAATATGGTCTAGAAAAATTTCTCGTAAACAGCACGCTACAGCCTCCGCTGAATACCAGAAATTCGCTAAACGATCGTACCGTTTGGTAGGTTTGTGGAAAAATACCTCAAATCACTATCTTAACGGGTGCACCCCTAAAACAGCAAACTTGGATCAGTGCTAAGGTTTCAAACACCGAATTTGTAGTAGTCTTACCTTTAGAGTATATTATCACGGGTGCTCCAGCGATCAGACATTTGAGGAACCACGGCAACCCCATACAAACGAGAATATCAAACACATTGCTGCCAACTGCATTCGACACGGCCATATCGCCTTCGCCTACACAGAAAAATAAGGTGGAATTAAACTGCGGATGTCACGCAATGCACTCAACTTCCGAATCTTGTGAAGTAATGAAACGAAACGCCACATGGTTTCGGGACCTGATTACATACAACTAGCCTTCTCGAAGAAGTAGAAACTACTGTTTTTGACTAGATGACTCAAATACTTCATAAATATAGGATAAATTATTGATATCGACGGAATACCGCTCTGCTACCATCCTCATTCTTGAAAAGGTGCAACAGCCACCGAGAGATCAATCTGACGTCCATTGCGGCAGAACTGCCAACAGCCATCATATTTCACCAGTTGCCTGGCAGAGGATCAAGCGTAATTCCGACCACGATGAAGTTTCATATAAACAGATGTACATATATATACATATATGTGATACATATGTACAATATAAATATATATATATAATATGATGTTGCGATGTCTGGCACATACCTAACGGATTTTCACGGATTTCAATAGTACCCTCAACCAAGCCGATCTCTGGAACTGTCTACAGAGAGGTGACATAATTATATCACGCTCCATGTTACATCGCCCGAGCCCTCAAACTGTTCTGGTCAGACACGATCATGTTGTTAATCTCCCGATTTCTATCCGGTGATTCGACCGCGAGGTCGGGCGCTAACCAATGACACCTATGGAAATACGATGGCATCAAACTGCAAACGAAGAGTTTGCAATGGGTGCGCTATTACACAGTGAAATTTGACCTTGCGCAAAAATTCAACGTCTGCCTGACTTCGATAACCAATACACGCGATTTAATGGTCCCGTTCCGTGGAACAAGCAAATCAGCAACGGCGAGGTTCTTTTAACTGTATTTGGCTTACAAAGACCTAGCATACTCTTAAGTATTATCGTTTCCTAATGCAATCTTCTAGCGCTAGACTACATTTGTCAGGTGCCTGTGTACTGTCTCCTTGGCCGTGCTTTTAGCTAAACCAGAAGCTATCCAGGAAAACAACCTGGTGGGCAGAATATGATGGAGTGTGGGCCTAACGACCTAAGTTGCCTGTGTTTTTACCCACCGTTTTCTAGAACGGTGCCCTAAGAACAAACAGATCTCTCGGACCGAAGTCCTTGGTATAACGGCACGGGACATGTTGCATAAAGGAACCGATGTTGCGTATGCTAATACTATTTTTCTTGACTCTTTCATAGGTTTTTTCTTCTTTACGACTTGTCTTTGACCTCTGATGCATACAAGATTAGTATAT